CCCCCCTCCTCACCACCCCGGGGGGGGGGGACTGTCTGTCTTCGTGCGGACATTGACAAGCGATTTGCCCTCTGGCCATGTGAGACTTTTGGCTCTTGAGAAGAAACGAGGCGCCCAACCTTTTCTCTGATCCGCTGGCCAGTAACAGTTGTCTAAATTTGTCTTTTCTTTTCAGCTTGTTTGTGGATTTTTTTTTTTTCCAATTTGGTTCCTGTTTCTATTTTCTTGTTTTCTTTTTATTCTCTCTCTCTCTCTCTCTCTCTCTCTCTCTCTCTCTCTCTCTCTCTCTCTCTCTCTCAAGTGCCTCTTTTTTTGCCGGTGTTGTTGTTGTTGATCTTCTTGTAGTTGCTGTCGTTTTTGCTGTTCCAATTCTTGTTTTTTCTCTTGTTGCTGTGGTTGATTTTGTTGTTGCTGTTATTGTTGTTGATCTATCTATTTCTGCTGCTGTTGCTGCTGTTGTTGTTATTGTTGATCTAGCTGTTTCTGCTGCTGTTGCTATTGCTGCTGTTGTTTTTATTGTTGTTGTTGTTGTTGTTGTTGACCTTGTTTTCATTCCTCATATAACTGTCTAGATTTCTTTCGCTTTGAGTGGCAACGATTGACGATGTGAGCAAAGGAACGTTTTATTTATCCATCTGTTTGCAATTTCTCGTCACAAGCCTACGTTTCCAGCGCAACCGAACCGCCAATATGTCGGCATGTCTTTCCTTACTGCAAAAATTAATAAGCCAAGAAATAGTATGTCTTTTCTTTCTCTTGTTCAGCAGTTTAAAGGGCTTGAGAATATCTTTGTTTTTGTTTTTGTAAAGTGTTTTACGGCGCTCGCAACTGCATATTAAGGTCATATGAGCGCGCGGGACACACCTAATTTTTTCAGTTAGTAGGAAATTTTGAATTTTGCCCGGGTGGCGGCCGAAGCCTACTCTTATCGATTTTAGACCACCAAGGGATCTTTAACGTGCGCAAATTGCACACGGGCCCTCCGAGATTTTTTCGCCCTTGTCCGAGAAAGCTAAGTGTAGATCTTTCCTACCAGAAGATCAGGGGTGTGTGAAGAAATTTTTTCGGTCGCTACCCGGATTCGAACCCGGGACCTTTGAATGAGAGGCCAACACCTTAACCTCTAGGCCACGAGAGCCCCCTCAGAATCTCCGGGCAGAGTGCACCATCAGCATATTAATACATAATGTCCCGCAAGACAGGTGTGTGTGGATGTCTTTGGTTCGAATACACAATGCAGTGTTTTGGAACCTTAATTGTTAAAGGCAAGTTCCAAAGCTCTCCACCCACTTGGCTAAGTCCTATCGGAGGTCGAAGATGGTTGTTAAATTCGTTATAGTGTTGACAGGTGCGTTAAACATTTGATCTACTGTTAAAACATTCCTTGGATTTTTCCATGTCCAAGTAACACTGCATTATTATGGCTAAGGTTGTTTTTTTTTTCGATCTACGTTTTTTTCATCGCTTAATAGCTGGAATTGTGTGGACATTTGGGTTTCTTATTTTTTGTTATTGGACTCACACAATTGTTGGTTTCGATCACAACGCCGGTCCCCATGAATCGATCAACTGATCAATCAATCAATGTTTATACCCGATTACATTTACATCTCAATGCACTAGCTCCTGTACGCTGAGCAGCGGGCACGCGAGCTGGGCTGTCTTATCCTTACTTAAAGCGGGAAAACTGAAAGGCTTTGTTTTGTTTGTTTTTGTTTTTGTTTTTTGCTTTTTCTCTGTTGTTTTATTTTATATTATATTATGGGAGATTATGTTGTGTCCGTGTTTGT